CTCGCACGGCTTCTGCTTTCTTCTGCTCGAGCAGGTTTCCTGCTTCTGTGTCCAAGCGGATTCCCTTGTCTTCTTGTCTTCCTGCAGTTCTTTGTCTCTCTGCTTTCATCTTAAATCTCTTCGCCAATCAAAAGTCGTGATGAAGCCGATCAACTTTTCCAGTTCGCTCATTCTTCTTGTCGTTATGCTTGTCAACTTATCTGTCATTCTAGATCGTCAAACATTGCATCAATTTGCTGTGTCTGCTTGTTTTCGGTTTCGCTCCTGCACATCCTCTTTCTTCAACATCATTCCTGCCAGTGCTGCTCGTCAGCCCCTGGGGTTCACTGGCAAGTCCGTTGAAGAAGTCATTGGATGTACAGGCCCAGGGGAACCCAAAACTGTCAAACACTGCAAGAACAGAAGTCAAGCGAAACATGCGCTAGAAAAGAAACCAGAATGCAGGGTCCATTGACAAGAACATGAGAAAAACAAATGACAGAAAGTCAGAACCATTTGAACACAAGTTTGATTTCAATGTCCTGCTTGTGGCGCACGCTGTGCACTCGTGCTGCAGAGCTTCATGCAGAGGCTTTTGACCAGACAGAACTTCAGTGACTTGCAATTAAACCATTTGCCAAACGAGACCAGTGCATTGAACCAATTTTTTCTGCAGCAAGCAAAAGCCTGCACGACTGGTTTGCACACGGGCCAGCGGGTGGGCAGCCTCAGGTGGCAGAGTGCCCCGGCTTTGCTCCACCCGCTGGACGTTCCGCGCGCGTACAAAAAGGCTCATGCTGCGGCTCGCCTCTTCCTCACGACAGGTTACGTGTCAAACACATGAACCAGCTGTTTCACGCACAAAGGATCAAAAGGCATGGTCTGGTGCAGGTCCTCCACCTGGGCTAGCGGAAGGAGGCCCGGGGTCTTCTCGTACACCGCGTCCAGGTTTCCATCCTTCATCAAAACAAAGTTCAAACAAGTCAAGATTTGCCTCTGCTTGGCCTCTTTGGCGGCGTAGAGACTGTCGAGGATCTCCTGGTCCTGTTTTGTCAATTGCGTGTTCGAATGCTTCAATTCCAGCAACTTTTTCGAGCGTGCCTTCTTCGCTCGCAAGGCCAGTTTGGTCAAGTCGTCGTTGAGCTTCCTCACAAACGCTTGACCTCAAGAAGGGGCACGCGATCGATTCCATCCAAGTGTCTGCCTAGCTATGTCTTGGCCTGAGCTGACGCCGCTGCATCTTTGGACCTGCGGTCACGGTAGGTCGAGAATGTTGGCTCTGAAAAATTTGCGACACTTCGCCTGCGGCTTCTGGCTCTGTGTTGCGAGCCCTTTTGTTTTGTTGGAGGACCTCGGCGCGCCAGGCGCCAGAGGCAACATGTGAGACGACAGCAAAAGCATTCCAGGACCACCTTGCTTTCCACGAGGTGGATCCTCTGCAGATTCTTTTGCCTCCCGATCCAGACGCGTTCACATCGAATGGTTTGCTGTCGAGCCCCTGTTTTTTTCCATGCCCTGGCCTGAACGGCTTGCTTCTCCTGCCCCCGCTTCTCCTTCTGCGCCTTCTCTTTAGCCTACATATGCCCAGACGCATCAACCAGGTCATGGAAAACACGGCTGTATTCTCAGGTCTCCGGTGAACTTTTCTTTCGCTTCTTCCAGAAAAAGGGCATACGACTCCTGACATTGCAAGACTGTCAGACCGCTCTGTGATGAACACCAACTTGAAATTGGACATGAGTGTCCGACAGTGTTTGCTGGCGAGAGGGTCTCCGCATTTGTTCATTCTTGATCCAAGAAATACTTTTCACTCAAATTTAGAAATCAATGAAGCCAAGCAACATTCACCATAGTCCAAAATTGTTCCTCTTGGCGCGATGCACGATGCAAATATAAACACTAAATAAGGAAATATTAAACAAAAATCAAACATGCAAAAATAGAGGAAATATTAACAGAGGTGGCTATCTATATAAATGCAAATTTGGCAAATTGAAAACTATATTGAATATAATCTAATTTCTGGCGAATTTATTTATGTATATTATTTGCGACCTCACAAATTCCCATATTTCAAAATTAAGGGTTTTTTGAATTATACTATTAAAATGTCTATAACGAATAATACATTAATATCTTTTCGGAAATCATATATTAAACATGCAATATAATAGAAATATTTCTATAAACCAATTATAGTTGAATGTAGTTGTGATAAATAAATATATAAATTGAAAACTATATTGAATATATTTAAATTTCTGGCGAATTTATTTATTCTTTGCGACCAAACAACTTCCATATCTCATTTTCAAAATTAAGCTTTTATTAATATATATTAATAAATTGTCTATAGCGAAAAATATATAACTTTTCGGAACCATATATCAAAAATGCAATATACAATCATATTTAAGATTATATAAAATATTAGAAAATATTAGAAAATATAAATATAAATTGAAAATAATTGTTACTATATAAAACATGAATTATATATAGTATTTGCAAATAAATTGGCATATTCTATATTAAAAATTAACATATATTTAAGAAAAAATATTTAATATAAATTGGCGATAATTAGATATCAAAACTACCAATGTAATAGAAATATTTATATAAACCAGATCTAAAATTATAATATTGATAAATATATAATTACTATAAATGAGATTTCTATTTATATACATTTTTGCAAATAAGTAAATATATAATCGACCAAAATTATTTATATAAATGTAAAGAACAAAATGTATTTATATAAACCATAATTGTTATTTTAAAATTGATATATAAATATGAATAGTTATTCTTATATAGAATCGAAAATATTGAAATTATTACTTAAATATTTTATTATATATATATTAATTTACATAAATATGTACTAATAATAAGATTAAATCGATATATTTTAAATATATGTTATAATATTTATTTTTTAAAACTATATAATATCTAATATGTACATATATTTTAAATAAATATATGTAAATATTAATTCTGTATTGTTATTTATTAAAATAGATTTCCAAATATTTAAAAATATATTTTAGGCCAAGCATTCTTTTCAGAAAAAAACATATCAAACAATAATTCCTTAGTTTTTTCTTTTACAATTCTTCATTCGATATTAATTCATCATCAACATCCAGATATTTGGTCCCACGAACTTATCTCATTTGATATAGTACCGTTTTTCTTGATTGTTTTTTGTTTTCATGGTTTGATCATCACCACCACTCCATCAGAGCCGTGTCCACTGAATTGTCCCGCCTGGGATCGAGAAGTGCGGGCCGAACCGGCTTTGAAAGAGAACGAAACTTGGAAAGATACCAAAACCCACTCCCCCTCCTTCGTCTCGCTAGAATTCATCAAAATCATCGAAAGCTGCGGCAGAATTCACACTACGCTGGAGCGGTAGTGATCCGGGGTTGGATGGGGAAATTGAAAGCGGAATCAAGCACGTCCACAGCTCTGTTATCATGTATCGAAATCGGTTTTTTCGAAAGAGATCATTAAGGAACGACATGGTTCAATGGGCTTGCTGAAACGAATCGTGATACAAACGATGTGGAGGAGGCCATCACTATTAGGTAGCTGTTTCGTTAACTCGTAACTAGTAGCCACTAGGCTTATCATTGTCCCTGCACTACGTACTTCCTATTCTCGATGATCTTGATTGTCATCTGAATCACCAACTTCTAGAATGCATTTTACACCATCGAAAGATATCTTGATGTTACGCTTTCGAATATATCTGTATATTCCATTTAGATTAGTTTTGAATCTAGGGCCAGCGCCGAGCAAGATGGTGAGAGTATGGTCTAAGGCCGGCGCGCGGTGAACCCCAGTTGGCTCGGGGTGGGATCAATGGGTACTTACGGACCTCGCCAGGACAGACTTTGATGGGCAGTGATTGGATGAGCAAAGCGGACAGGTTCAATGGTAGAATCAGCGACGAAAAGGGAATTGGTGCAGCAGCGGAGGTCAGGCAGCAGCGGCTGACGGGAGACATTCACTTCAAGACAAGAGAAGCATTCTCAGCGAAGAAGCAAAAAGCCAGCGGACTGTATGAGAAGAAGAAGAAGAAGACAACTTTGGCTTGGTCCGCTACCCCCATGTGTTTCCCTGGCGTTTCCCTGGTAGCCCATGGGCTATGCTCCCTCCGGGCACTTGCCAACCGGAGTAAATCACCGCACCACGACACAGGGTTTCCCCCGTGCCCCCCTGGCGCGCCGAAGGGACACAAGTGAGCGGCCCGCGTCCAGGCCGATTGCGGGTGTTTTACCTCCTGTACCTCGCTTTTCGATTGCGCATTGTGTGTTTATTTACTTGATGAGGTTGATCACAGAGCTTTCATCCCTTGATGTGTAGTGGGCCCCAATGAACATTCGAAAAGCACGGAATTATCTAACCAAGCGAAACTTCCGAGTGACGGCCAGACATCACACATCGTTGTATCAATGATTTGTGTCGGTATCGACATAGCTAATTGTTCGGCCACAAGAGCAAACAGGAGAAGAGCAGGACAAGAGAAGACAAGAGGAGAGCAATAACCCATCACAGATCCCGGCCACAGAGCGCGGTCACAGATCCCGGCCACAGAGTTCAGAGGCGGGGCCAATGAGTTGCTCTCCTTGTTGATTTGCCTACAGCAGTGAGTGTGTTTATTTATGGGCGCCAGGAGGGTCTTGTTGCCCAATAAGAACAATAATTGGATTGCGCTAGGCAAGTTCTCAAGGATGCAGGATCAGCATACCAGCGGCTTCCAGAGCCTTTAAATTGATGAAATCTTACGAAATAAACAATGTCCTGACAACGTATAGATAACTACCCTAGAAGTCCAAAGACTACTTCTGGCACCACCGACGTGGAGGAAATGGAATTCGGATCACCTGAAGGACCATTTTGACAGTCGACTGGACAATGACTGGACTTCCTATAGTGCACTTTTGTTGAATAAGTCAGATTGAACCAGGAGTCAGCCCCCGGAGTGCGCACGTCGCTCCCCCGGCCTGGAGAGTGACACGTAAGCTGGATACAAGCCATCGAATAAGGCGTGCGCCCAGCGGTCTTGCCATAAGGCGCGGAAGAGCACACTCAAACCGCGCCGGTGCTCTGCAGTCCAACCACCTGGGGGCGGCTCCGGACGCCCTGGCGAACGGCCAACACACGGATCAGACCGACCAGTTGAGGACGCACCGCGGGTCTTCGGTTCCGTGGGTCGGTCGTGAGTCCTGGGTCTTTTCTGAAAAGTCTTCCTCTCTGTGTGATCATGACCTACCGGGTCGTCATGGAGTTGCAAAGATATGGAAGATGTCAAGGAGGTGGAGCCCTTGCAGGTTTTTTCAGGGCGGTTTTGATTTCTGGGAACTGGTGGGGGCCGCCACGACTCTTCATGCTTTGTATCTTTGTGGAGCGACAAGCAGCTTGTGCTTCCTACTATAATATCTAAACCACACACACACACGCGCGCGCGCGCACAGCTTAGCAATACTATTGACCAGCTCTGATCACTCTGATCTGCAGAAGAACACCTTGGCCATGCACATCGGCTCATGGACTCGCCGGGTGGAAGTGGAAGTGAACAGCGAGATCGAAGACATGACAAGCCCATCCCCATCAAGGCACACAAGCTATCATGTGCCACTTCTTGAACTCACCATTTACAGTTTTACTACGCACTTGTTCTTGTCAGAGCCTAGATGCCACAGAATGCCATAGAAACCAGTCAGAAGGAAGACACGTTCCTCCGCTTTAGCTCCGCAAGGGAAGGACATCAACTCATTCGGCGACTCGGTCCGGTGCTCGGTCCCGTGGGTGGTGAGGAGGCCGAGCCAACCGGAACCGGTGGGACGGACCACTTCGCTGTTCGAACACGTGGTGGACCACAATTGAGAAGAACATGGCGGTCATGGCACCAGGAGATACCAGGAGATCAACAGCTTCACCTACCTGGAAGGTCGTTCGCTGCTGTTGGAGCTCCACTTGGGGTCGCGACCGGCCACCGAATGGCGCGGCCAAAGGACGCGCATAGTCTTGAAGCTCCGCTTTGGATGGAAACCTCTTCACTCGAACGGTCACTGGCTTCTCGACGAGTATGGCAGGCATATCCCAGTCACCTCAGCCAGCACAGCGCCGTCTTCATGTTTTCAGGCCTATCTGGCCATCTCTTCAGCGAACACCGCAGGTTGCTATTACCATGAAATGTTATTAAATAACAAATTTTGTTCTCCAAAATCTGCACAAAACCAATTCTGGCTTTGCTATGCTTTCCTGTAGATGTTTTCTCCATGCAACCCACTCTGGGACTGTGACCATTCCCAGGGACCAAAAACAACATCCGCAAATGTAGGACTCCCCCAAATGCAGCGACGATCCCCTCGACATCTTGAGACCTGGGGTGTTTATCCTGCAAACAACACCCCTCCCGCCCCCACCCAAAAACAACCGGACTCCTATACGGGAAAAGGGACTTGCATATGTTTGCATCAACACCCAAATATCTTTCACTGTCCACATTTGTTCCATCATTCATTTCACTATACTACTATATATATATATTATATATATATGTGTGTGTGTTGCCCAAACGGTATCATTTGCCATCAGCTGCGTGCTTTAAAAACAACAATCACTTTTACTCTTTTTCCAATCCCCAGGGCTCCAACCATCTCCCCAGAAGGTGGTTGGGGTGGGTGGGATTGGGGGGTCTAACCACCTCCTGACGAAGTGGGCCAGGAGCCCTCCGGGGCGCTGATCGAGATGTCGTTCTCATCCTCCTTCGTCTCCAGAAGTGTCACCACCCAGCGACCTCACGGCACGAGACCGACGACGCTTCGAAAACGGCGAAGGGCGTTCCCGGATTTGGTTGGAGATGGTCGGATGGTTGTTCAGACATGCCCCTCAAGAATCCATGACCAAAGGATTCATGTAACCCTCCGCAAAAAAAAAAAAACATTCACCACTAAAAAACACTAAATGTAGGCGACAGCAAATGCGCCACCATGGATCGTTTGGGATGTATACCTGCTGTATATAGGTGTCCCAGGATTTGGATTTGGACCACTGGGTATAGGTGTTTGGATTGGGGTGCCGCAGGCATGGAATATTTGCCTTTACATGGGATGATCCCATCATGTTTCTTGAACCATTCTGATTTATTTCCCGAATTCAGCATGGTTTCGTCATGTTTCTTCAGATCTTAAAAGAGGGGCTCCATCCATCTTCCAGTCAACATGGACTCTGAGCGTCTTGGACCGCTCTATCAACCAATCCTCAGAGCTCGAAGCCGAGAAGAAAGAACGATAAGAACAACCGGCAAGCAAACACTCAAAGCATCAAAGTAAAACCCTGTCCATTTTAAGATTTATATAAGGGTCCCTGATGCTGGGCAAATAGATATGGAGCACAATTCACAGCGATGTCCCAGGGGTGGACCATCACCAACTTCCAATGCTTCTTCCGGGTGTTCTAACTGGTGAGAGACGAGCCGACTCTGGGCGCTCGAACTGTTCGAGCAAAGACTGGAACGTTGTTGGGCTCCAAACGGATTCGGAATGTCTTACAGATCTGAACTGCGATGAGTTGGGCTTACTTTTGGGTGACACGAACACGATGGTCACCACGCCCCGAAAAGACGGAACCCTCAGAGATCATCGATTGCCAATGCCGACCTCGCCTTCCAACCCCTTTTGAACCCCAGCCTGTGGGCACGTCGGGCGTCAAATAGGCGCAGTGGAAGATGCAAGACCTCGGACTGGGTCATCGCGACGACTTGCCCGACCAAGGGGCATGGTACCAAGTGGTGGGTATATATATATAGAGAGAGAGAGAGTATAGCCGAAAAATGCAAACATCGTTGTGTTTTCCTGGTGATTGTAATCAAGAGTTCTGTTGGGCGTATATTGGCATAAGCCTCCTGGCTGTGGCTTTCGGCAATCTCAATCTCTTTCATCAGTTTATAAGAAACACACGGGCAAGGAGTAGCACGTCAAGTCCTAAGTTCCGCGCTGATCATAACCTCGAGCACCCTTGCATTCATACTTTGACATCTTGTCTTCGCAGCTGGAAGACTGAGGATATCCCCGCATCCTGAGGCATGTCGTTGGAACGGCAATCCAAGTCTACCCCTCACATAAATGGAACAACGCTTCCTGTTTTCAACATGTGTTGGACCTTTCGCTGGACCCTTGTTCTCCGCATGCTGCAAGTTCCTGTGCCCAAGTCCGATTCTACTGCTTACCAGCTGCTCAGCAAACGCTTCCCCAGCGGAATCTCTCTTCTCAGTTCCGGGCTCACCCACAAATAACAAAGTTGATGCAGCTGTACATGTTACATGTGTACACCGTTGTAATCCTTTGTATCTCTCGCATGGCTCCCCCATTTGCATGTCCAATGGTCTTACCTGAGCATTTGCAGAAACCAGTTCTCTATCTATCTATCTACCTATCTATCTAGCTGTATCTCTATCTATCTATCTACCTGTCTAACTATGTATCTATCTATCCGTCCATGAAAATCTATCTATCTATCTATCTATCTGTGATCTATCTATATACATATATAAAGACATTTACATTGTGCTACGAAAGAATCGACAACGGTCTCAATCTGGTACCATGTCATCAATCTGATCGTTGGCCAGGTCGCAGCGCAACATCACCATCGCTGCCTGCGGGGCACATCGTTGAGCTCCAAGCGACCGCAGCGCCATTTCTTACTCCAAACGATCCATGGTGGCGCAAATATGACCTATACTATGTTGGCCGTAACCAAAAACCACCCAATGTGGGTTCAGTCTCGCCGAGTGCAGGGAGACCCATGACCCCAGGCACATCTAGTGCGGGCACACCCGGTAAGGGTGTGCAGCTTTGTGATCATCTCGGACAATCCTTGTGCCAGCCCCAGGTGTCGGGTCTCCAAGTGAGTGGCGAATTGGTAGGACACCAGATGTATCCTCAAGGGCAGTTGAATGACTTATATCGAGGCCGAACACCTTCCAGCGATGAAAAGAATTCCTTATACATCTAATTATGCGATGCAGCACCCTTTGCTATATGCTATATCACAAACATGGACAGTTAATAAACTTCAGGCTGGACTGCACGTTCATGTACCTTCTATATACATCTTCTACCATCCCTCCACATCCTCTCCATTCCCACCAAGTGACTGATCTCACGCCGCAAAAGTTCATGCCGGCTCTGACGGCCAGCAGCCGCAGCTCCTGCGGAGCGAAGCAAAACGTAGGGGGACTGGTGGAAAAGCGATTTAAAACCCTACAAGTCCAAAGACCCCAGTAAAACCTGGTCTTTTACCTCCCTAAGTAGTGCTTTTTGTATGACCAGGTCCAGTAAAATGCGATCATTGACCTGGTTGTGTAAAGGCGTCCAACGTCAAAGGTTCATCTGCATTGCGTCGGTTGGCCAAGGTGCCGGATCCACAAGCCTCTGAGAAGGTGATTGGAGACTCTTACTGAGACTCTTTGATTTAGGCCCCACAAAAGTCCAAGCATCTTCTGAGATGTGTGGTTCTCTGGGTATTTGTAGCCAGGCTTCAGGGTTTCACTTACATGCCACAACTTATTGGACGAAGCGATGGAGGAGTGTTCACTCCTCCTGGAAGCACGAAAACGAGCCACGCAACTAGATTCTTCGTTGGCATCAGCACGAAGAACCAGTTCCGGAACCTGGAGGCGAGGCGGACAACACCGTGCCTTTGCATGGATGTGATGTGGCATGCAGTCTCAAGCTGATTGTTTCCAATGTTTCTGATGACAGTCTGGCTGGATGTTGGTCATACGACAAGTAAAGCTGGCGTACCTACTTGGACTGGGACACACACACACACACTGGACACGACAATGATGCATGATTCATGTTAGATGCCTTTATGTTTCTTTTGAGTTTGCAAATGTTGAGTAAGCAATCCGTTTTTGTTTGCTGTTTGAGTCCCTCTTGAGTGGACCTGAAACCAAGGGCTGTCTGTGGAAGGTCCCAACTGATGTTGAAGGTCCCAACTGATGTAGTTGGCCATCAGGACCCCCCGCTAAAGAAGACAAGTCCAAGCAACTTGTCCGACACCCTTAATCACAGTTTGCCTTTGGATTAGCTACGCCTTGACTGAGTCCCCAAGGTGATTTTGCGGGAGATCCTCTATTCGGTGCCACCCCACCGGAATCACCACCAATCGTACCCTCAGCAGTGTCACTCAGCATGTGCCCACGCCGAGGCGGAACCACATGGCACAGCGACATCATCTTTCGAACTACTTTAGTTGTGAGTTGTGAGTCATAAACTCTACAAGCGAAGAATATCAATGAATTAAGTATACTGAGCGCAAATGACATAGGAGTACTGGGTACTAGTGAGTCAGGAGTATCCCCCAGCAACTCCCATGTCACCGCACAAACCACAGCAAAACAAAGGGATACTACCCAGAGTGCAACACTGATGACATAGGAGTTGGAGAGGTGCCAAGCACCCACAACACCAGCATCAAAAAAATAAGACATGCCAAGAAAGGATGTTTTTGGCCAGTATTTGTAGAGCGGCGCCTGATGACATAGGACTTGAACACCTATGTAATTTTGACGTTTTTTCCTGATGACTTGGGTTTCACTTTGTTTTTTCGCCTACCTCCGACAAGTCCTGGGTCACTAGTCCTCAGTATAATAGTTTGATTTCGAGGTTTTGTCCATGATTGATACACGTTTGATTGAAATATTGTCTTTTTGGTGTGGAAGCTCTAATTTGAAGGTTCCTACAGCGCCCGAGTTAGGTCACCCGGGCTTGCAAACAAGAAACCAGCCGCATGGAAACACAGCATCCTAACGACTTTCTACAAGACCATGCAACTTTTCCAAGCTACCCAGTATTCAAAAGCGAACTCGACTGGAGTTTTTGTCAATAGGTGGGGGAGCCGGTCTTTTTTTACTCCATTTGTGGGGGGGCTTCACCCAGAAGCTCCCATTCTCCATCCCTCTCGGTGGTGAATTCGACTGCCACCGAAATCGCCAAGGTGCACGTCAGGCCTGACTTCTGCCACGAGGTGAGCGGTCGCACCCCGGGTCGCAGGGCCGGGCGCGACGCCAGTCGCGCCATGTGGTGAAGCGATGCGGCGCTTCCGCGTGGCTTGACACGACAAATGCCCGCAGCAAAGGATGGGGGACGTGAGCAGCGTCTTCTTCGGGAGACCGAGGAAGAGGTCCGAGCGCCGGTTGCCACGCACAGAGCCATGGTCAACCACCCCAAGGTAAATATGTCAGTCCCACTGTCAGTCCCCAAAAAATGGAGGGCCGGGTCAAACGGGGTCAAATGCTTCCAGGTGAAACTGGTTGGGTGTACCTGGACCCTCCAGAATACCTCCAGAATATTTCAGAATACCCTCATGAGCGGAGCAATCACATTAGCTATAGGCATGTTAACCTTCCACTTGCAGAAGTTAAGCTGTATTTCGGGCGTTGGAACGACTGAAAGTTAGAGCCTGACCCTGTAAAAACAAGTACTTGTACATGCTAACACCCAGGTACCCAGGGACGTGATTGCTGTGTAACCCATGTTCTTTACTAACAGGTCGGAGTTGTGGTCCGTGCACCTCGGGAGGAAAACCTCTGAGCCTTTAAAGAAGCACTGGCATCATATTAATTATGATTATTATGAAACTGGTAAAATATAAGTATATCCAAATTGAATAGAAACTAGAGCCTAAACACAGGTCCAACCATCAACAACCCTGGTAATGACATTGGAACCATCTCAGAATCTGTGGCGTCCATCCCCATTCATTGACATCAAGAACATTCAAGAACCATCCACCGCTGCGCCACACGGACGGTTTCACACGGCTCTGCGGCCTCGCAGTCCCGCCGCGTGGCCACGGACAAGGTCCCGAGCTGCACCGCGAAGTCGTTGGGCCTCGAAGGGTCAGTCGTTGGAAGTCGGAAGACCAAGCAAACCTGGGTGTGTAGCTCAACTAGGAAGACCAACCAGGCAGAGTTCCAACCCCGAAGCGCTCGATGGGAGGACGAGGACATCGATGATGTACGCCCACCGGGGCGAGACTTCGGATGTTTCTCCGATTGAAAGTACACACGATCCTCCATGATCCTCCAACTGTTTTTGGTTCTGCCGAACTTGGCTGCTTTGGTAGATGAAATTGAGCAACAATTCTGAGTTGAGAGATCAAGGTCTTGCAAACATCAGTTGTTGGCAGTACTTCAGGTGCACTGAGAGCAAAGGGTTTATCTCAAACCAACTCCCTCCCGGATCCCTGCCCGGTTCTGGTGATCAGAGCGGTGTTCACTCTGCGACAAATCCAGCAGTCCGCCAGCACAGTCCTGACCTGCTTTAGACACTCTCCAGCACCCGAAGATCAGAAAGCCCCACGTTGAGCGGAGAGGGAAGGCGGATCACAGTGGCGCTGGAATCTGTATCGAGGGCCAGTTGCGCCCAGCAACTTAGGTTCACAAAGTCCAAAAGTACCACTCTCTAGCCCTAAGCCTGGTCCGTGCCATACCCAGCAACTCCGCAGCATTCCGCAGCAACTCAGACGCCCTGCTGTGTGCAAGTGCCTTCAGTACCACCACACCAGCACACCTGGCACTGCAGCGGCTCACTGGCCAGACTGCCGTTTTCCACGGGGGTGCACTTGGGTGGACATTGGACATACTTTTAGTGCTTCTCTCGCCTTTGGCTATTGCCTGTAGCACTTGTTGCTATAAAATGCTATAAAGGGCTGTTCTGGGAATTGGACCACGGACATTGCAGTCCAACAAAAATTGCAAGATTTCTGTGGGTGGGGGGGGAACACCAGGTTCTGCATGGAGTTGATTGTTGAAATCTCTGGCCCGCTGGCCCGCCACACTTCCAGGTCTTTTGATCATGAAGGTTTTTTGAAGGTCCGTCGCCTGGGTTTCCAGGTCCGTTGGCGAATGAGTCTAGCTCGGGGCAGTTGGAGTCTGTGATACTTGGAATCATCTTGGAATCAGATGAGTCTGTGACATTGATTTGGGGTATGCGGAGAAAATGCTCGTCAAGCTCCATCCCTGGTTTCTTGACTCGTCTCCAGTGCGGCCACGCGGCATTGTACGTGCCCTCAGGTCCGATGAGGATGTCCCAGGTGGCTTCGGTGCCATTCCTACCAAAGGCGGCAGCAACTTGCAGTCTCAAACTCCCATGGACCCCCCCTTCCCGAGTCCCAAACACGTAGCGTAGCCCTGCTCAGGTGCAGGACTTCCCAGCATGCCAGTCTCCCCCCACCCAAAAAAAAGAAGACTCAATAGCTCAAGCACACTCAAGCACTCTCAAGCCCCTCCAGCATGCCAGCAAGCTATGCAGCAACCCCTGCTGGATGGCTGCCGTAGCTATCTGGAGATCCGAATAAAGAAAAAAGGTCCAGTTCCGGATCCGATACCAGTCATGACTGAGGCTCCTTCGCCTCAGACTGAGGCTCGAGAGCCCCTAGTCTGGGGTCGCCAGCAGTTTTGCCCATCAGAACGGCGAAGAATGGAGACCCCACCAGGTCAAGAAGAACAAGCTTCAGGAATAGCTGGTGCAAACGCGTGTGGCCACGCACATGGAATCGTCTCCTGGATTGACTTCCCATGAGTATTACGATGAATTAAAAACACCAAAACAAGAACACATTGAGTTTTCGCAAAAATCCTGTCACTTTCTGAGATCTCTTCCTTTGTATTTTTGCCGCAGCATGGCGCATCAACGGCTCAACCTCTGGGTGGCCCCAGCGCACTGCTCGCAGCACCGGAACGGAAGTCGAAGGCCGCCGTGAACTGGGCGTCGCTTAGGCGCGATGGCGACTTGACTGCCAGGGTCACACAACTGTGGTGCTTCCATGAGGCGAGTGCAAATCCAATCACCACATGTAAAGACATATCGTGATGTGGAGATTGCTGATTTTCCAATTCTCTGTGTGCCCTCAAGTAGACAAATGTACCATGATGTACCCATACAAATGGGTAGAATTGGGACAAGTCAAGTTATACGCATGCATTGGCAGGTCCATTCACTCGCTCCCGCACGCTCCGCATGGGTACACGCCTGCATCCGGCGGCCACCCCTCAGTTCAAGAACATGGTGGTTGCACTCCAATACAAGTAACAAATACCACACGCACAGCAATAGTAGTTACGTAAGCAAGTTGGGGAGCGTTCTAGAAACATCTAGAAACTAACAAGTTCACAAGCTTCGTATTTCGTCCAAACACTAATTAAAACAGTCAACCAACCGTTTACCGTTTAAAGAAGTCTTTCACTAAGACTGTGTCACCAAATCAACTGTTCAAGAATTTCTCTGCATGCATGCTTGCAGAAAAACACATGTTGTTCAGCACACATCTCTGGAGTTGTGCGCAAGTGCCCATCATGCCCCAACCTTTGGCACTGGCACAATAACCGTGTTCAGGACAACTTCCTCCTTAAAGTTTCAGGACATCCTCCCTAAAGTTCCGAAAGCCAGACCTGGAAAGCGTTCAGAATCCATTTCTGGGATCGAACTCATCCTTCCTATCACTGTCCATCGCTTCCAGGCCCTGGCGGGACAGTGGTGGGAGCCTCTGTCGTCGTCGCCTCAATCGCCGTGGAAATCCCCAAATTGCCAAACTCGCCAAACACCCTACTATACTTGAATATGTTCATGAATTCGGCTGGTGGAAAAGAGGTAAGTAAAAACAAAAAAGAACATCAGTCGTGTTTGGGTATTGAACATTTAGGTCTGACAGTACCCCAAAGGCTGGCTTAATTTGGTGACCCGTTGGCCTCTCGGTGTTTCTTTGCTCGGATTGAGGCCGGCCAAGCACGACCCACGGGTTCCGACGGAAGTTCCGTGCCTGTCGACGACAACGCGACGAGGTCTCCAAACCAGGTGAACTAGCAGAGCAAAGCTGGCTTCAGGAAGAAATCCCAGAAATAAGTAGCTAAGTAGCTGGCAATGGACCTTGGGAAAAGGCAACACTTCGTGGAAACACAGAAGCACCATGCTTCCAAAGGCTGAAAAGACTAATTAGCTCGATGCTGATTCAGGAGAACCTGATTCGCCTCAGAATCTGGCGCGGCATGACATCCACCATGCAACATCCACCATGACCATGACATCAATTCTTCTAGTGTGCACCCGATCTCCGTGGCAGTTGGGTCAAAAGGTCACAAGTGCTCAAGCCTTCTACACCTGGCTCTCCAAGGACTTCACATTGGACCAAACCAAAGCCGCTTGGACCCACCAGCTTCAACCCCGCCGGGCGGCGGTCAATTCCCGGCCTCGCTGATGGCCATGCAGCCCACGTTCTGCGGAATGATTCGGATCCTGCGACGGAGAGCTGGAGGAGTTCGATTGACCATCCCGGCCCTGGTCATGAACTGGCCTCATGAAGAACTGGAGTTACGCCAGGTCATGAACCCCAATATAGGCAATTAACTATTACAGTAATATACATTATTTGGGATTGCTGAACCAAGAGGGATAACTCTGCCCCTCCCCCCGAGTGGGAGAACAAAAGGTGAACACCAAGCAGCGTGAAAAACAAAGCAGAACAAACAAACACTCCTGCTTCACAGCTGATACGTCCCGGGTTCTTCCAACTTTCACATCCTCCATAGACCATAGACCAAAAGATCCAAGAAGGAAAGCATTAAACACATACAAACGCTATGCGGGCGTGAAACCGCCTCTGGACGATTTTGCCAACCATCCAACCAACCATGACAACCATCTCAACCGCTGCTGGGTCAGTGAGTCAGTGGATCACATCGCGGACCAAAAATCTGGACACAATGCGAAGCCGGCCGTGGGACGGCTGCTGGTCCTGTCTTCTGTGGCCTCAGGCGTGATCGACCACGAGGTGAGAAAATGATGGGCGCGGTATGTTTCACCCACAAGATCATGACAATCATGACCTACACTCCCGAAATAACGGATTCCTGATGATTCCTGGATGGCACGACCCCAACTACTAAACGGAAGAACGGCAATCCGACCATCTCATCAGTTTCTTGAAGCCAAGATCTGGGTTGTAGCAATGGCTTCATGAGCTTATTTGCGTTCCAACAGTGGTTTGACCACTATGACACCTAGATGACACATAGGATGATGACCTTGGAACATCTAGGATGACATCTGATGAAAACAAGACACTGTTCAAAATGTTTGAGTCAAAAGCCTGAAAGAAAACTGCACGCAAACCATCTTGATCTTCATTATCTTCATTGGAATGTTCAAACATCAACCCACACCTCCGCGTGCCGCGTGCCATTGCATCCAGCAAGCTAGGCCAATGCCCTGCACCGAAATCTGGCTTGGCTGTGCGGGATTGGCCACGAACCTGCAGAGACTCGAGACCCAGGAAGCGACGGTTCGCAGCGCACCGTGAGCTTGAACGCGCGAGTGACGCTCCGTCTGAGCTTGAAGTGTAGCCCATTTTTGGAGGGGAGGGCAAGCTGGAGACGAAACCTGTAGACCAGCAGCCCTCACGGAGGTGGCATATGCTAGCATAAGTCCCGAGGATTTGGCAAGTAGGTGACTTCCAACAGTGTGCCTTAGCACCTACAAGTCAACTCCAACGTGGCCCCCGTGTTGCAACAACACTTACTCAAGTCCTATGCAAAAGGTTTTCTCAACCTTCTACCCGAGATTCCCGTCGAAGCACAGGTGCACGATCATCATGATGTCGTTACTGTTGCTTCTACTGGCAGCACCAAGAGGACCTTCTCTCCAGTCCATTGAGTGATCCCAGTTGCGATGGGGAGAGGTCCAATTCTGGCGAGTTGCCACCCTATAGCCATATAGCCATGGCATACAGCCACGGCTACGCAACCTCGCCCAACGGCCTCCCCGAGTCCAAACCTCCGAATGCCCGTCGATCAGGCGTTTTTGGCCGCTCTCCCCTCGCCTGAGGGAACCAGCGCCTTGGGGGCCACTGACCCGTAACTGGCCGACCTTCACCCAAGCCACACAGGTAGAGGCCTCGGTGAAGTGGATCAGGGTGAGTGGAGAAACTCCCTGCAAACGAAGGACCGGTGAAACCTGGACCCCTGGAAAACCAGTCTCATCGACCAACGGGAAGATTTTCAGGATGATTCTGACGGTCCATGTTCATCTCCACCAGGGTTGTGACGGCTTCGTTCATGTCCACCCTGGAGGAATGTGTCTGGCACGAGTCTGAGAGTCATGGGGCCAGCATGGGCACACAGGTTGGAACCGGAGGCCCTGGGTCTAGACGAACAATTCACTGATCAAACCTTTGACACTGTTGATTGCAGTGGTGTGCCCACCAAAAAAAGAAATCCAGCAAAGTAACAAAAACACACTAAAGACTTAAAGGTGCACTGCCGCATATGCCGGCCTGCCGGCCGCCAACAAAACATCTCAAAGTACAACTAATGGTTCCATGTGATGGGTTTCCAAACAGCCACCTCGCTGGGGTGTCCAAGGAACGTGGCTGCCGCATGTCCTGCCCGGTGGGACCTCGGGGACCTCGCAGCTCCTCTGGTCGACCAAACAACAAGTCCCAAATATTCCAAGTGGGGCCAGAAAGACTTTTGGGAAGTGGATAGCATGGCCCCGACGGGATGAGCATCAAATCCGAAGACCTGGTCCACGTGGTGAGAGATTTCCCACGCCACATGGGAAGGGTATAGGTGAACCTATCATCACCGATCAAACACAACCCCAATTCAACCTATAAACGGCCTCAACAAAAGGGTTAGTATGGGCTGGTGCTGGCGCAGGTGGTGAAGTTGGTGTTCTCGCCACACCTTGGACGCTGTCACCAAGGCCCAAGCATAATGCCGGTCACAGTAGCAAACGTGAAAGCGGTCAGCCTGGGCAACAGGGAAGTCAGGGCAATCTATGGTACTCTCCAACACGGCAGGCAGCGGATATAGCTCCCAACGAAAGTCCAACCAACTGGGCGGACAAGCTCCACAGCATGTCGATGTGCTACGGGATGTGTGAAGCCCACAAGTTCCGGCCAAGTTTCTCTTGCAAACCACGTATACGAAAGATTTGCGCCCTTAGGGGGCACTTTGGGCTGATGCTTTCGGGACAACAGTCTGATCTGACTCCTTGGATCCGAATTACAAACCAAATCCCAACGACGTGAAGCCAACTGCCGGATCGTTCGCTCCCAACGACGCTCCCTGTGGCCCCAACTCGATTGACCGCAATTCCTGGGCCAGTCGAACGCGCTGCGACGTCGGGTTCGACGCGCTCAACACGCCCAACAAAGCATGAAGTGCCACCTGGAGAACTTTGAATGTCTCACAAAGGAGTGATTCCCAATAGGGCCCCAAATGCCTTCTCAGAATTCCATCCCAAACTGCGTCTCAGCAGGCAGAGTTTGGGATTCAGCAGAAAGGCTGAAACCTGGAAAGCTGACGAGGAGTGGAGGAGCAGGAAAGAGTTCGGCAGAATGATCCACCCTTGGCCTGGTTTCCCTGTTCATGCTTCGAACTCCCGGCATGACCTCTCCGACCTCTCCGGGACGGCAGGACGGCTGGCCGGCATGGCAATGGATGGAACGCAGTCAAGCATAGCAACCAGCTTGCAGCTTGCTATGTATAACTATGCACTCATGATACCCACTTCAAGAACAATACAGCGGTCGATGATAATCCCGAGTAACTACTTAAACACACACCCCTATTGAAAAAACATCACCTCCGAACCGCCTAAATACGGCTTTTTTCGTTTTTAACTTACCGCCCTTTCAGCCGCTACTAAACTACCAACATGGCCGACTTTGGCGGAGTTTCTTTTTAATATGCGTTGTTAGGTTTCAAAAGGAACCCTAACTGCCCACCTCTGTCCACCCTGTTTGTCCACCATGACACGCCGCGTTTACACCAGCAGGCTGTCCTTCCCCCAATGGCACGGACTCACGCACACGCACTTGCCACCGAGGCCGCGAAATCGGCATGGCACAGCAACATCACCTTTCGAAAGCTTTAGTTACTATAGTTGTTAGTCTAATGAAGAACCATTATTTTGATAAAGGTTTTTGTCAAGGGAAAAGGAAGACCCTTTGATCTGGAGTTTGTTTTTTTCAATTTTTGATACGAGTTTAATGAAGGATATTATATATACAAAAAATCATGGGTGATTTTGAAGCTCTTCCCAGGTTTCCGCACGAAATCTGCACTTCAAGCTTCACAAAGCGCTGCGCCTGCCAGGAAATCTGAATTTTGTAATCGATGATTATTCAAAAGGATCCTCCCACTGACCCTATTTTGATCTATTTTGGACAACAAAAAATTAGGGACCCCCTGTTAACAAAAATGCACCCGAGTTTTGGTTATTAGCGGGGGGTGCCCCGTGTTTTAATAGGTGGAGGGGATTATTGGTATAGATGCACTTGGGTGTATTATATATATATATATATACGGTATACAGTATATGTATACTGTGTATCGTATGTACCATCTGTTTCCCTCATCATCAACCAACCAATCCTAAACACAATCATAAACAGCATATAAACAGCCCCTTTGAGAGTTCATATGTTCATATGCATGCGAGCGGCCGCTCCAAATGAGCTCGCGTCCCGAGCCCCATGAGCCGCTGGACACGGTGACCGTGGGCGGAGGCTCACACTTCCCCACCTGGGTGTGGCGTGACAGATCCGCGCGGGGGGGGGCGAAGCTCCGACGAGCACGGAGAAAAGAATCGGAGGATGGGCACCGGCAAAGGCTCAAAGTAGGTGATTAAAAGATTGGTATTAATATACTAAGATAATTACTAAGTACCAGCATGTACCAGCTGTTTCCAACGGGTCACCAATGGACATCCCTACCAGCTGCTACCTAGGTCTCCATTGGACACTCATTGGAAGTATAGGTCGGGCTCCAAATTTCAGGGTGCTTGGCAGTCTCAGATCCAGTCAAGCAGTGGTTGGCACAGTGGATGCAGGCCCTACTGTGAGAGAGTATGTCATGAGTTATGACATAATAAGAAGTTCTGAAGCTTTCTTCAAGCTCCATCTCACATAAAACGGTTCTTGTCCAAACCACCACTTCTGAGACCAACAACGTGTAGGAGTGGTGGAGGCTCTCTGGTAGGGCATGGGAGAAGCTCACACTACGATCCAAGAACATGTAACAACTCAATCAACATGAAATGCCAAACACACTACACGCGTCTCGTGTTGTTACAAGGAAGCTGAGTGCATAACAGGCAGCAAGCAACACTCACAACGTCACATGACCCCATCATTTGTGACTTCGAACATGTCTCATCTGCGGATTTCCCTTCTTTGAGCGCCTTGTTTCGGACACCTTGCCCTGGTCCATTTACCCCTTTGGGAGGATTTTTAGGAATGTCCGGACTCGGACGATTTTCATCCATCCCAGGCAGGGTTCGGCCGACGAGAAGGTCCTCAGATCCCCAACCCCGCTTTCCAAGCAAGTGATCCCTGCCACCTGCGGGTACGCGCGCGCGCGGAAGAAGGCGCTTGCTGAGACATCACTTTCGGAGGCGGGAAAGGGAAAGGGAAAGGGAATTGAAACAGGTGGCTGGAGCTGGGACTTTGATGTCCGGTTCACGATTTTCATTCGAGAACTGTCAGCAGTCAAATAAACGGTTGTTGTGGCCACAGTTACCTTACACGATGCAGTGAATTTTGAGGCATGACCCGTGTTTTCGATTCAGCATCCTCCACTCAAAGCCCAATTGAAAACCACATGACAATGTCCATTTGAGAGCCAGCTTCTGATTCGGCTGGATGCTGAACGAAAAGGGAAAAGCACACCGTTCAGGGCACCTGGGCTCCAAAGCTATGAAACCAAACCCATTTTGGACATGAAATGCTTTTGGTCCGGATTTGGTTTGTGGAAATGCACCGAGCCGACCTAGCGAATTGGTTTGGCAAAGAAACGAATCCTTCTGCCATAGGGAACGCTGTTCCACCTTCAGTTGACGAAGAGCAGGCAAAGAACAAACAATAATTCAGCCGGGGAAATCCAGGGAACAGCAAAGAGAGTGTCGGTGAAAAGAGAACGAACACCACAAGCCTTGAAGAGATGTGCACAGAACCATGATGAACCATGTGACCCAAAGAGGAGAAAGTGCAGAAAGTGCGAGAATCAATTTCATATTGTTTATTAGCAAACAAACAGTGATAACACACAGCAAGCAAAACACATCAGTCAAAGGATCAGTGCAAAGGCTGGACCCTCTCTCCCGCACATCAGTTTTGCTTGGCCGGTTTGGATGGCCCCTTGTCTCTCCACTTGCCTCACGGCCGCGCGGATTAGTGTTTGCCTATAAGCATCTAATTATAAGCTGTCTCAGTGAATCCTGGATTGGATCAAGCTTGCCATCCACCCTTCACTCGAATTGATTTTGCTTGTGCTCGAGCTTGTCGAATCGTTCTTCAAGCTTCGTGATGTGAGCTTCGTCACTTTTGGCGGCAAGAGCCTGCGACACTGGCAGCCTAAATCAAGATCTCACAAACTTCCCCGTTGATTTCAATTGAAAACATTTGAAAACTTATATGATCTATGTTTTGGTGGGAAATTTTGGTGGTGACAACCCAAGAAGTACGCATGGGGATGATGGCAAGCGACATTGCTGCGCGTGTGGACTTGATGACATGCTCAGGGATGGGTTGCTGCAGGCCACCCTGACATGTCAAAACTGTCCCTTGGTACAGCATGCAAGTTCTCAGCAATCAACCGAGGGTTGAAGGCAATTCAGGGTGGCAAGCCGTGCTTTGTAATCACAATGCCCTGCAACGCCAGCCCTGCACACGGTGACCCAAGATCCATGCAGATCCATGCAGACTCTGGTGACCCAGCAGTGTCTGGCAGTGTCTGGCCCAGGTCTTTGCTTTGTCCGAAGAAACCCCAGCACCGGCTTCCATGATCGGCTCTTTCCACATCGGGAGCCAACGAAGACAGCATCTGAAGGCATGTGAAGGCATGCCCTTTTGGGATGCACAGGGATGGTGAGCTTCTAAGACACGTCTGATGCAGGCATCAAAACGTGTCGATATGATGCAAGCAAGAGTTGAGGTTCCAAGTCAACAAGGGCAGGCGCTACCCTACCGCCCTTGGGGGGATTAATCTTTGCCGCAAGCAGCTGGCTGATCTCTGGGATGTGGCTCTTGGTCGCAAGAACGATTCCAGGACGAATGTGGAGCGAGCTGAAGTCGATGCATCTGCGTGAGTAGGATATTCGAACATCAAGGCTCCGTTCACAGGCCGACCGGTCCCTATCCTTAGGGATTGCTTCGGGTCCGGACCCTGGACCGTCGCGTCTGGGCCATGAGATCCGATCGGCAGTCAAATGGATCAAAGGAGCTGGGTAGCGCAGCGGCCCAGCTAGGCCCAGCTTGGCCTTGGCCTGAAGGCCTTAGGCATTGAATCTTCCTTCACAACACGATGTATGAAACCACGAATCCGAGTACCAAAGCACTAAAATGCAGTGGCTGCGGTGTACCAACATGTGCAAGGACCTTGTGGCGTGAATGGCAAGAAGCCTGTTGAGGAATGTGCACATTCAATCTCTGAAAGACACCCAACAAGTTACAGTAAGAGTTGATACCCACACAAGCCGTCAGGTGAGGTGGCGACAGCATAGTGAAGTGTCACTGTATTCTGATAAACAACAGCCGTTGCAATGATTCATGTGCTTGATGAAAGGATTGCGAGATTGCCTCTTGTGCACCTGGACTGTCAAGAACAACGCCGCTTGATGTGGAGACAAATGCAGCTCAATCTGCAGCCAATACATTAGTGAACAGTTACTCATAAAATTGCACGAAATTTATAGAAGTCAGTTCTCCAATGGCACTGAACAATATTCCGTAATTGACGTGCTTCAGCACTCGATATAGAAATATATTTTTATAATAGTAATTTGACCTCAGTTTGGCACCAAGTTTCCTAATCTAGACTCTTGATTCATAAACCACCCCATATGAAGAGGATCTCCAACTCATATCGAAGAGTCTATCATTATCTCTGCCACTTACAGCCAAGTTCTAAGAATCATTGACGAAGAACAAGTGGAGAATAAAAGCAAACAAAAAACATAACCTTAGGGCTCCAGGTGCCTCCTCAGAGGTATTTGGACCCTCTAAACCCACCCCAAACACCTTCTCAGAAGGTATCTGGAGCCCTAGGGTAAGTCTATCATGAGGCTTGTAGGTCCTGTACCCATGACTCTGACACCCTGCTTTTCCCGGCGCTGGGCTCTTCCGACCGATCCGTGCAGCTGTGTGCTGTCGCAAGCACCTGAGAGCGTCACGTCGGCGACAAGCTGGGGGCGAACACTCCATGTCTGCAACATATACTAACTTAGAATGCTTATATACTGTATACTAGCACCCACAACGTGTGGTTAATGGAAACCCCTTAACCTTTAAGACGCTATCGATAGACACCCCTCAGGGTGTCCTGGTATTGACCCCACTGGCACCAGCCCTGATCGGCCAATGATGGCAGTCCCAGACAGGTCGTGTCCTCCCGGGACCTCGCAGCATTTCCCCACGCCGCCGCGTTCGCAGCGACGTCGCCCATTAGCCCATTAGCCACTCGCACGGCGAACGGAACGTTCCGCCGAACGTGGAACGTGTCTATAGCCCCGAAAAGAGGTGAAGGGGTGTCCATGAACCACCCCGACCGTGCTGACCCAATCCCAAGCTCTGGGTCTACCAAATTTGCCGCGAAACGTGCATGTCTCCGGTGGTGCCAGGGGGGTCAATGTAGGCTGTTTTCCATATTATTCCATACGAGTGTCTGGCAGTGTTTGGGTATGAAACACATCCGGGTTAAATAAGTTTTGTGGGGTGTTGACTTTTTCCTCTGGGGCGTATGAATATTTCAAATCATGCTGTTTTTTGTAAATCAAAAAGTCAAATAATTATTGTATGCATAATATAACAATAATGAATTGTCAATAATTCATAAGTCTAGTATGGAATATACAACAGTTTACTTACATTGACCTTTAAAACGTGCTTTATTAATAAAAAGAAAATCCAACTTGAGGCCAGAGGGGGTGAACGAAAGCTAGCCGGGCTTCCGGTGGTCTGCTGCTGGTGCTGCTGCTGCTGGTGCTGCTGCTGCCGCTGCTGCGCTGGGCGCTGCTGCGCTGGGTGCTCTGCAGGCGCCGGGTCGTCTGCTGCTGCTGCTGCTGCTGGCGCTGGGTGGTCTGCTGCGGCTGCTGCTGCCGCGGCGTTGGGTATGCTGCTGCTGCCGCCGCTGGGTGGTCTGCTGCTGCTGCTGGTGCTGCTGCTGCTGCCGCTGCTGCGCTGGGCGCTGCAGATGCTTGGTGTGCTGCAGCTGCTTGGTGGTCCCGCTCACCGCGCGCAGGGGGGAGTCGAACCGCGGGGGGGGGGGGGGGTCCATAAGATTGATTTAATCAATTATTTGAGGTTTCTGAGGTGCGTCCACCCCGTCACGTAACTTGCTTAAAGCAAGAGCAACTCCAGCTAGCTAAGGCTAGCTTTCGTGAAAACCACGCTAATTCAGGCAAATCATACATACATAGATTTCTTGGGCTGGATCACACATAATTCTCGAGCTTGATATACTGGATCGAATCTTGTGTCACCTGAACCTGTAGCTCCATTCTGTGGGTTTCCAACCATGTCCCTTGGAGACGTGCCCCACCATCCTTCACCACACACTCTGACATTGGTTTTCAGTGACTCAGTTTCCACGTTGGGAG